TGAATCCCAGCTGCTCCACTTCAACCCAGCTAATGTACCAGGAAAAACAGAAGAGGCCCAAGTGCTTGAGACTCTGCACCCCTGGGAGAGACCCAGGAATTTGTTGCCCCTGGTGTTAGCCCAGCCCAGCTGCAGCCATCTGGGGAATAAAACAGCAGATGGAAGAGCCCTGTCTTACTCTCCTCGGTCTCTGTAACTCTGACATTCAAATAAATATCCTGCCTCCACCCCCCCAAAAAAAAGATGGCCCAACAGTTGGCCGCGTCACCTACACAGACAGTGCAGGGAGTTCCTGGCGAGCCGCGATTTGGCTGATGCAGTCATTTAGGACCAGTAGATGCAAGATCTGTCTCCTTCTCTGACTCTGCCTTTCACATACGTAAATTTTTACCTCCAAATAGTATTCTGGATTCCTTGCAAGAGTTCCACCTTAGGATGGAGACAGAGTCCCACGGGGGCGCACTGAGGGCACGTGAACCCATTTTGCCAAGGCAGAAGCCTCTACAGTACAGAGAAACTAGAGAACCTTTCAACTGGGCCCTGAGGAGCAGAAAGAACACGGCAAGTGGCTTAATACAGAAGGGTTCAGAATATTCCATTCTGGTGAATGTAGTTGGACATTCAGCCATCAGCAGCTCTTAATTTCCAAATTCATGAGGAAAAAAAAAAAAAAACCAACCAACCAACTGGGAGAGGAAGCAGGTACTAGACACACACAGGTGACCAAACAGAAAGGCGCTGTAATTAGCAAACCCACTAATGATCAGGTGCAAATCACATAGCCAGCATGTCACTTGCTGCAAGGACTCCTTCAGGGGCCTCCCAGCAGCCCCAAGGACTGGGCACAAAGGCCAGCCCACACCTGCTTCACACCCTCTGGGCTCTACTCCAGGCACACAGACATTCCTGCAATTCTCTTAGTGGTCCTGCTTCCCTCCCCCACAAGCACGGGAAACACACTCCTGTCCACCCACAACATTGACATTTCCGCTTCAGGCCCACCTTCTGGGAAACCCCTGCTGGTCTCCCTAAACTGGGCAGGCATCTTCAGACATCACAGCAGGGGAGCACACAGGTGCTCAGGCCTAAAACTTCCGAGTGATCCTGGTCTCCCTCTTGCAGCTCATACCTAGAGCACCAGCAAACCCTGCATGCTATTCCAACAAGTCCTGTCACCTCTTCACAGAATCCATGCCTCCCTCACCTATTACTCTAATGCCAATCCTCCAACCCGGATTAACTTTCAAAAACCTCACTCCTCAGTTCAAAACCTTTTGCCACGGCTTCCTGTGCTAAAAGTGAGTCTGCACCACACCCAGAGGGCTCTGCCAGATCTGCCTCAGCGCCCTCACCGTCACTGCCTTCAGCCTCCTGACATCACTGCAGCCAAGCTGACCTCCAAGTCATCCCTCAGACACACCGCCACCCCACGGCATCTGCACAGAGCCGGGCACTCTCACCTGGAGAGCCCTTCTCCATTTACTCACAGCTAACGCCTCTGCTTCCTGCAGCAAGCCCCGCACAGACATCTCCTCTTGGGGAAAATCAGCCCCGCCCCTTTTCTTCACCCTGCTCCACTTTCTCTTCCTTTCCACAGCACATCATCACCTGAGAATTCCTATCAGTTGATTATTTTTGCTTTTTCTTACCTGCCCATCCCACACTGGGGCAGAGTTACTATCCGTGTCGCCCACGGATGTATCCCAAGCGCCTGGAAAGTAGCACACACCTACGTGAGGCGAACGAATAGTTTCATACCTGTCTGTGGGATTAGCTAATTAATAACTCAATGATTTGTTACTTAGGAACAAGGGCTTTGCTCACCCTCTTCTTTCTTAGCATCTAACACAGGACTTGGCATAGACCAGGTACACGATGTTAGCTGAACAACAGCACATTTTTAAGAATTCCATCAGAAGACACAGACTTAAAAACAACTGATAACATTTGAAACTTGTAAAATTGTGGAGGAGGAAATCCACCCCCACCATACACTCAACACACACACACACACACACACACACACACACACACACACACTGCTGGCAGGTGTGCAAACTGACACCTTTGAGAGTGAGCTAGACACAGCTATTAAAATTTAAATCCGCACTCTAATTCAGCAGTCCTACTTTAGAAAAGGCTGTCTGAAAACAGGTTCAAGGACATCAGTTACAGCACTGTTTATTAACAAAAATCCCTGAAGACAGTCTGGTTGTCCATCAAAACAGAAACAAGCCAATATACAATTCTAAGAACAAGGCGAGGCGCTCAAGCTGCGACGGAGTGGGACGGGCCACTACCTGCGATGCTTGTCAAAGTCCCAGCTGCTCCGCTTTCCACCTAGCTCTCTGCAAGTGGTGGGGCCCCTGCCACTCACTCAGATGAAGTTCCAGGCCTAGCGCTGTAGGAGAGAAGCAGCAGGTGTACCACCGATCTCACTTGTGAGCTCTCTCTCTGGGACTCTGCCTTTCTGATAAAACTTTTTTAGAAGTGGGTGAGGGGAGGAAAGCAGACCTCAACACAGACCTGGACAGTGCACCATGATCCAGTACACAGGACAGAGGGTCCCGGCCTTACACCACCTGGATCTGAATCCCAGTTCCCTCACTGACTGTGTAGCTCCAAGCACGAGTCTTTCACTTCTGTTTTGGTTTTCTCATCAATAAAATCAGAGCAGTAATATTACAACAGTACCCACCTCAATTACAGGACAATGGCCCAAGATAACACCTCCCATACAGACAGCCCATTACATGGCCGCATAACTAGTGACAAGAAGATAATGTTAACATCTCCTAAGAATGGCAGGTTGCAGACCTGGTATGGGAAGTGTGCCTATTCGAGGAATAAAAGGTACTGCTGCCTGTGTTAACTCCAGAAAAAAAGTGAGGAATGACAGAAAACTTCAGATGTGTCCAAGATAGAGTAAAATACCAACATTTGAAATTGTTGTCCTTTGTATTCTCCAGGGAAAATAGACTCAATTGAACTTTTACTGACTATTAAAACAGATTTGAAACTAGTAAATTAAAAATGCTCCATTGAAAAAAAAAAGTCCAAAAACTGACAATATAAAGACAAAAAAAAAAAAAAAGGCTGCAGCTTATCCTTTCAATTAACACAAGAATCTACTCTTTTCCGAATCTGCCACATCTCCATGAAAAACAAAGCAAGATGTTGGGGGTTGGGGGGAAGTGCTGTCAAAATAGACAAATGCTTCTGAAAGGGGATGAAGTTAAAGGTCAAAGACAGGCGGCCAGCTTCTGCCTGTCACGCTAGTGCTGAAGAATCCTGGGTTGTGCTCAAAGCTAATTGGGGCTGTGTGCATTCAACTAAAAAGAGACCAGATCTCTCTCCCCTTCTGTCCGCAGTCCCTGTCCACTTACTACATAAATTTAACACAACTGCAATGGACCCAAGCCACATCTCACCCTGGAGTCACAAGCTTCGGGAAAAAAAAATGGGAAATAAACCTGCACTAAGAATAGCAACAATACTAGAGCTCCTGAAGCTAATTTTTCCTAGCTTCTCTCAAGTGCTTAGTCACTTGTGCCTATCTACCACGAAGACCATTGCACATCTTGCAAGAGGCATGGAATTCTGATTCCAGGCTGTCATGTCACCTGAGCCGCCCGACGTTTGCTCCGTGCAGCCCGGTGGAAGGTGGCGGCAGTGGCAGGCTGGGCATACCTAGTTGCCCACATCAGAACCAGCAGGCCAGCTTGCTGTTAACAAGGAGGCCTTGTGGAGGAGCAAAGCATGTTTCCCTAACACCAGATGCAAGAGGCGAGAATTAAAATGTAGCCAGCAAACATCCTGAACATCTGACAGTCCACCAGAAACGACTCCCTCCTCTTCTACAGGAACACAAGTAGCAAGCACGTTCAACAGCTCCAGGTGCATCTCCCCCTAGGCAACTCACAAAAAGACTGGAACAGGCTTTCCAGTCAGCAGTTAGAGCCTTCACATCTGATAACATTGTTTCAAGCTCCATCAACAAACAGGGGGGACACTTCCAGAAAAACCTCTGGCTGAAGCAAGTTGGGACAAACTTCCCTGAGTACAGCTCTAAATCCCGGACATCCAATCACACTGCAAGAGGCGAGGCACACACACTGATGATTGAACAGACCTGGGAGTGCTCCGTCAATGAAACACAGCTGGATCTTGCACAAGCTCCAACATACTGCTACCTAACACAAATGCAGATAGTAAATTCTAGACCGAGGGGGGTCCATCTCGCCAGCAGACCCTCGCAACCAAGCTGGACTGCGCAGGGTACCAATCTTCTTTCTTCCAGGAATACGGATGTCATTCACTCAAACGCCGGCCTTCTCCAAACACCTTTCTCTTCTTTATTGCTACAACTCTTCTAATACCAAACCATTTTACTTGCCACACGTGATGCTGCTATTCTCCCAGATTAAAAAAAAAAACCCACGACATAACCTTTCACATGGGTGACAAAACAGGCTCAGAGAGGTTAAAAAAAGAGAAGAAAAAGTGGGCCCAGGGTTTGTGAGATCCGGGGTCCTGGGGTCAGCACTCACTACGGAGCCACACTGCCACTTTAGGGGAAAAAAAAAAAAGCTACTCCATCCAGCTCCTGACCCTGGTTGAGTTTTTGTACGTCGCAAAGCTAAGCGCAAAGGGCATTTCAGCATGGACTGGTGAGAGCCTATCATCACCACCACCTAGGCGAAGATTTTTTTTCTTTCGCCCATTCAGCACATGTTCCTCAGTCCCCTCCTCCCCACAGGCAGAACCCACGTGTCAGCCCCGCCGCTGCCCGCAGCACCCCTCGGCCAGGCGCCCCCGGCTCCCCACGCGCCCCGGCTCCCCACGCGCCCCGGCTCCGCCAGGTCCCCCCTCCCCAGGCCCCTGCGCCCCAACCCCGCGCCCTCTCGCCGGGCCCTGCGCGCCCTTCCCGCCCGTCCCCTCCCCTCCCCGCGACGCCGGGCAGGCCGCGCCCGCCGCCCTGCCATGGTGGGCAGCCTCACCGTCAGGCCGGTGCGCCATGGCCAGGCGGGCGGCCTCGGGGAGCGGGGATGGCGGGGGATGGGGGTGGCGGGGTAAAGCGGCGTTCTGGGACTTCAGCTGGCGGAGGAGGCGTCGACCGAGGAGCCCCCGCTGCCGCTGCCGCCACCGCCCAGGGAAGAACTGCTAAGGCTGGAGCTGCCGGCGCCGCCACAGCCCCGGGCAGAGACGGACCCGAGCGCCGACCTCCGCCTCCTCATCCTGACAGCGGGAAATAAGCAGTGCGCAGGCGCGGGGGGATGGGGCGGCACGTGACGTTGGCCGGAGGGGAGGGGCGGGGCGGGGAGAGCAGTGCGGTGGGGCGGGAGGAGGAGGAGCAGGAGGAAGAAGAGCAGGACTAGAAGGAAGAGGAGCAGGAGGAGGATGAGAGGAGGACAAGCAGGAGGAGAGGAGGAGGCGCTGCAGCAGCAGCGGCGGCCACGGGAGAGCCTGGGTGCCGCAGATGCGCTCTGAGGCCTGCACCCAGCCCTGACGCCAAGGGGAGAAGGCAGGCGGATGAAGCGCACCTGGCCCCTGTGTGCCCGTGGGGGAGTCACCCTCACCACCCTGGCTAAGAAGCATTTCAATGAGGAAATCAAGCAGGAAAGCCTGTGTCCGACCCCAGGTGTTCTGATGCACAGGCCAATGCACTTAGCAGTCAAAAAGTCGGCCTGCTGGCCTTACAGCCCTGGTCCCTGCACAGACGGTCTGCCCGCACCCATGGGCCAGAGCACACCCTCTGCTCTCCTCTCTCTCGCTGTGGCCGCCTTCCTGCCCCAGGGTGAGGAGTCGGGCACCTGTACCCCTTCTTCAGGTCCAACTTCTGGATCCCTGGGACCCCAGAATTAACTTCCCCTTGATGGCTCAAGTTCTGGCTTCTTTCCCCAGGTCCACCCTCTGGAGGACAGAGCCCAGGCATCCATCAGTGACCAAAAAGGCAGCTGTGTCAGCGGACGGTAGCACAAGCTGCTATGTCCATTGTGTTGGACAGAGGTAAGAAAAGCAGGCAAGTGAGTCCTGGGCCGGGGCCTCTGCTCCCCTCAGCAACTCATCTGAGTGCAGGAAATCCCAGGAGTCTGAGTATTCCGAATTCAAGCCTGGCTGCCAGGTGAGCAGGCAGACCTTCGGTCAGGCCGTTAGGCCGGAGCAGCAGACTGCAGCCCTCTGTGCTAACGAGGAGGCAGGGGCCATAAAGATAGCATAGGCCAATGTGCTCCACACAGGGGCTCCTTCCAGTGAGTCAGTGACGTTTATTACCACTGATGATGGGGTTTGGAACCGGGCCCTTAGAGTCAAGGTCACTCAGGATGGTCAGGCACTTGGTTCAGACCCTAAGGCTCCCTCGTGCTGTGCTGGTGGCTGAAAAGAGAGTTTATAATCTGGAGCACTAAGGGTTTGTCTAGTTTCTTATTCGTGGGTAAACCCTAAGATACAGCAGTTCCCCATTTAGATGTACATTCTGGAAAAAACGTTGTGTGTGCTGAGAGGCCCTTCCTGGTCATCACAAAATGTGATTTTTTTTGTTCCAAAGAAAATTGAGAGATAAGATACAAACCTGGGAAATAATTTCCAGTCAATTACATTGCACATGGGCCCCAGCGGAGGATTACAAGAATATTTGTAATGCCCTAGGTCATAACAGTAAATAAGTGACCCAAGCTTCAACAATAAATTTAACATTTTTAGCGAAATACAGAGTGGAGCTCTCTACAGACATGGAAATGAACAAACGTCAGCCAAACGTGCCAAGTCAGTTACTCACAGACAGAAGTTCGAAGGAAATCAGAAAGTCAGAGGAGCAGGCCTGTTCCATAGCCATCAAGACACGAGTTACAGCACCTGCATCCAGCTGCCCAGGTTCAAGTCCCAGCCCTGCTCCTGACCACGGCTTCTGCCTGAGGACTGACACAGGAAGCCATGGGATGGCTTCAGTCAAGCCAGATCCCAGCTGCTGGCTGCTTGCAGGCATTTGGGAAGTAAGCCAGCAAATGGAAGATCTCTCTCCCCTTTCAAGAGAAAATGGTAAACTGTTAACATTTTTTAAAGGTTTATTTATATCTATAGCAAAGTCGGATATACAGAGAAGAGGAAAGAGAGGAAGATCTCCAGTCCACTGATTCACTCCCCAAGTGGACTCAATGGTCAGAGCTTAGCTGATCCTAAGCCAGAAGCCAGAAGCCTCTTCTGGGTCTCCCACGTAAGTGCAGGGTCCCAAGGCTTTGGGCCGTCCTCGACTGCTTTCCCGGGCCACAAGCAGGGAGCTGGATGGGAAGCGGGACCATCAGGATTAGAACAAGCACCCATATGGGATCCTAGCTCGTTCAACTGAGGACTTTAGTTGCTAGGCTACCACACTGGGCCCAATTCTTAACATCTTAAAAGATAAAATAAAATGTCAGGGCCTGGCACGATAGTGTTGTGGTTAAAGTCCTCACCTTGCATGCCCAGGATCCCATATGGTCGCTGGTTCTAATCCCGGCAGCCCTGCTTCCCATCCAGCTCCCTGCTAGTGGCCCAGGAAAGCAGTTGAGGACAGCCCAAAGCCTTGGGACCCTGCACCAGAGTGGGAGACCTGGAAGAGCTCCTGGCTCCTGGCTTTGGATTGGTTCAGCTCCAGCCACTGCAGTCACTTGGGGAGTGAACCATCAGACGGAAGATCTTCCTCTCTGTCTCTCCTCTTCTCTGTATATCTGCCTTTCAATAAAAATAAATAAATCTTTAAACAAAACAAAAAAGTAATATGTTCATTTATATTAAGTCCCCAAAAAGGTAGGACTAAGCTTTCTGCATTCATAGCTAGGAAACTATAAATGTAATAATAGCAGCAGTATTACAGGTGGGGGAAGGAAAGACATGCTACTTCAAAGGCACCCAAGAGCCAACCTTCTGCGATGCCAGCACCACTATTGCTTTTTTATTTGAAAGGCAAAGTTACAAAGAGAGGAGAGACAGAGAGAGATCATCCACTGGTACACTTTGGACCAGAGCTGGTTGGGCTGCTCCAAAGCTGGAGCCAGCGGTTCTTCCAGATCTCACCTGTCAGTTCGTGGGCCCAAGCCCTTGGGCCAGCCTCTGCCGCTTTCCCGGGTGCATTAGCAGTGAGCTGGATTGGAAGTGGAGCAGCCTGGCTGTGATCTGGGGTTCATACAGGATACCTGGGCACTGCAGGTGGAAGGGTTAGCCAGTACATCATGGGGCTGTCCCCAAGCAATGTGCTATTTCTTAACCTGGGTCCATGTAAGCTCATCTACAGATCCAGCAAGCACAGTCTTTGACAGAGCAAGTAGAACAGATGAGAAGGATACATGCGAATGAGAAACAAAATAAGCAGGCTTGAGTGAACCCTAAAACTCCCACAAGAGAACGCATTCATAGAGTCACATGGTGTAGGCTGCAGGAGACAGGTGTCTCTCCTGCACTTGCCCTGGTTGGGCCACATCAATGGTGACAGCTGTGTGCATTCTGGGCTCTACTGTTAGCCGAGGGACACTGATCAACAGAATACGTGAAGATGGCAAAGGACGTTCTCCTGGGGGTGGGTGAGGCTGAGCTGGACCTTTCAGAGGGTCCTCAGTCTGTGGGAGACAGTGGGTACCATGTTCTCAGGACTGCAGCTCACCCTAAAGAAGAACTGACCATAAATGGGAGAGGCAGCCTTTCGGGGAGTGAGCTCCCTGACACACAGGAATGCAAGAACAGTTGGCTGACAGTTAGCCAAAGGGGCTGCAGGAAGACCTCCTGCTGCGGGTGGGGGAGTCCACAGGATTAGCTCCAAAATTCCATCATTCTCTTGAAAATAAAAAGTTTGCCGCATTTTAGATCTCCATGGTAAGTTGTCGCCGATGCCTCTTTATTTCATTCTTCACAACCAACCAAAGAGTGGGTGATGAGCACACCACAGATAAACCAAATTCTAACTGGAGGCCCAAACTATGGCACAGTAAGGTAAGCTACTATCTACAGCACTGGCGTCTCATACAGGTGCTGGTTCAACTCCTAGGTGCTCCACTTCCAACCCAGCTCCCTGCTAAGGCACCTGGGAAAACAGTGCAAGGTGGCCCAAAGACTTGAGCCTCTGCACCCACGTGGGAGAACCATAGGAAGCTCCTGGTTCCTGGCTCTGGACTGGCCCAGCTCTGTCCATTGTGACCATTTGGGGCTGAACCAAGCAGATTCTGCCTTTCAAACAAACAAATAAATAAAATCTTAAAAATAAAACATTCTACCCGGAGTGGGTATTTGGCCTAGTGGCTTGAGATGCCCACACCTAGAGCCAGCATTGTGGCACAGGGAAAGCAACCGTCTACACCACCAGCATCCCACATGGGCACCAGTTCACGCTGAGAAGATGGCCTAAGTAGTGGGGACTCTGACTCACATGACAGACCCAAATGAAGGTCCTGGTTCCAGCCTGGGCTGACACTGGCCCTGGCAGCACCTGGGGAGTGAACTAGCAGATGGAAGATTCTCTCTCTCTCTCTCTCTCTCTCTCTCTCTCTCTCTCTCTCTCTCTAGCTGTTTCAGAATAAAGCTCTTGCACTCCCCCAAATGGCTGCAATGGCAGTAGCTGAACCAATCTGAAGCCAGGAGCTGCTTCTGGGTCTCCTACACAGGTGCAGGGTCCCAAGGCTTTGGGCCGTCCTTGACTGCTTTTCTAGGGCTCAAACAGGGAGCTGGATGGGAAGTGGAGCAGCCAGGATACAAAGCACTCAATGGGATGCCAGCACTTGCAGGAGGAGGATGAGCCAATTGAGCCATAATAGCAGGCCCAGATCTTTTTTTTTTTCTTTCTTTTTTTTTTTTTTTAATGCTCATATTCTAGATTAGAGAGCTCAGTTCCCCATTCTAGCTTCCAACTGATACACAGCCTGGCAGTTGAAGAACTGGGGTCCCTGCCTCCCATAGGAGCAAAATGGTCTAATTCAGCCACGTGACCATTTGGAGGAAATAAACTAGTGGGTAGGCACGCATTCTCTCTCCTCTCTCTCTCAATTAATTTAAACAATTATTCCAAAATTCTATCCTGGGGCCTGGCGCTGTGGCCTAGTGGCTAAAATCCTCACTTTATAAGCTCCAGGATCCTATGTCGGCACCAGTTCTAATTCCAACAGCCCCAATTCCCATCCAACTCCCTGCTTGTGGCCTGGGAAAGCAGTCTAGGATGGCCAAAAACCTTGTGTTCCTGCGCCTGTGTGGGAGACCTGGAAGAGAATCCTGGCTCCTG